CCTATGCAAGTCTCACAGCGTTGTTTGCATTTGTAGAATTGCAGTAAATGATTCGATTGTGAGCGTTTGCACGAGCATGCAAATAGTAAAGTCAAATCATTTCTAAATTAATTTACAGGGAATATTGTAATAAAAAAAACCATTTCTAAACTGAAATAACCAACTTTTCGTTGATTTGTTTTTTTTCGAAGTTGAAATAAAATACTTAAGAAAATATTTGAAAAACACACTAAGGTTAGTTGTTTTTTATTTAATTTTTACAAAATACATTTTAAATTAGTTTAAAATGAAATTTCAAATTAAATTTCACCGTGCGAGTCAATAAAAAGTTTAAAAGTATCAATTGCTTAGAATAAATGATACCTATTCACAGTATTTAAGAGACAGACGTGTTTTGTTTCTAGTCGAGACAACCAGGTGTGTGGGTACCGGCAGTAAAATCACTTTTCATCATTAAATGAGGAATACGTTTCGAAAATTACTGATAATGAAATAAATTTGTTGTCAAGTTTTTTCTTGTAACTTCTTTCCAATTATGAAATCTCAAGATCAAAACTAAGTGAAATGAAATGACCCGGACAAATAAAAAAAGATAATAAATACTATCCTGTGATTGTGACAGGTCATTTTTAATAAGAAGATGTCGACAGTGGCGGATCTGGACAACTTTGACGGGAGGGGAGGCAACATTTTTAAAATGTTTAAATTTTTATTTTTTTTTCAAATTTTGACGGGGAAGGGCCAAGATTGGTGGTAATGTGGCCACAGTTAGACTGGCGAATTTTTTTGATACGAAATGGTTCTTTTACTGTGCAAAAACTGAGTTTTACTGACTTTTAATACAAATACTGTTTACAACGGGGGGTATGACTCTTCTACCTCCCCCCCTCTCAAATCCGCCACTGGATGTTGATGAGAGAACATTGAATTCAAGTTATTTCACTTTTGTACATTTATGGCAACACCAAAAAAACTTTAATCATCAGCATTAAAAAAATTACCAACAATTAATTATATATATGCAGATTGGATAACTTACAATTTCGCATAACAGCACGTGAAAATATTAATGCTATTAAATTTATCTGATATGAAATTAACTTGAAACGTATGTTAACATTTTTTGGTTTCGTGTCAGGCCATATTTTAAAAATGAAAAAATGTCAAAATAAAATAAATTAAACTTATTAGATTCATTTATTTTTATTTTTTTAAATTAATAAATATTAAGTGCTCGAATGGAGCACCATGGCACTATCTATTAGAAATTCATTGATTAACATGATAAATGTTGAGACAGAGTTTGCTTAATATGTGTCAATGGTGCATTTGATTATTAATGTTTAATGAAACTGTTGATTTTGGTTATAATTGAATTTTTCGGTTAATAATATGTGAGTTTTTGACAAATATAAATAATTTTATATAATAATATAATAAAAATAATAAACATACAGCATTGGTTCGTAGAATTTACAACAAAATTACAGTAGAATCGCCAAACAAATTATTTTGTTGCTAATATAACAATAACTTGATGTGATAAAAATCAAAATTTACAATTCTGATTCAAAAAACTATCTTGATTCCAAAGGCAAACTGCAGTCATTAACATTGAACATTTCAACACATCAGCAACGTCATAACATTAAATCCTACGCATCAACACTCAAATGGACAACGACTTTGTTGTCAATACATTAAAATACTGCTCAGTAGAAACAACAACAAAAGATCACACAAAACATAAACCGCATCATCGCCACTGTAAAAAGGTAGCGTAGCCAAACAATAATAACTCATTGAAACAGTCGATATGTTAGAGTTTTGACGGAGCACCAAATGATTGACAGAAGATTTTGGAAAATCATGAGAAAATTTTCAAGATATTCCTAAGGAAAGCAAACGTATCTACCTTCCGATCAACTCAACAGTATCAGCAATTAATCATCTCTTTTATTCCAACTTTCAATCAGAATATCGACTTCTGGGCCGACAATGTATAATTAAATATTTATGCCGCTAGGGTTATTTCTAACGCAATGTCATTAAATTTTCATTTGAAATTTTTTAAAATTCTTACACTTTTTTAAATTTTTTTTCTTCAGTGGAATTCATGAACAAAAAATATACAGGCTATATTCTCCAAAACGAATTTTGTCTACGAAGAATTCTTTTGGATTCAGTTTGGTTTTACGGATAACATTTTGACATTTTAATGCGGTTAGAGAACAATTAAGTCATAGTTCTTAACATTTCAGCTTAAACATTATAATTATTTTTGAATAATTTTTAAAAATTTGTATTAGCGAAATCAAGATACAACAACTTCATATTAAATCAACAAAAATATTGCTATGATGGCATATATAGAAATCGCATGAACACAAACAAAAACCACCAATATAACATTAACATTTAACATTACCATTTGAAGAAAAAACCAGAAAAAATAAAATAGAAAACAAAGCAACGACAAATTCATAAGCGTGCAGCAGATTGGTCGGAAGCATGGGACTGATGTAATAATGGGTGTCTAAATATTTGTTTGGCCATTTAGTTCATCTCCTCTACCTGCTTGCTCATCTAAAAAATGTTCATCAATTTTTTTAATTAAATTTTCAATTTTTTCAGATTTTGATTCACAAGTTATAATAAGTTGGAAATATTTTTAAGGACACGAATTAAATGAGTTTTTTAAAGTTTGAGTAACCGCTCTTACACGTTCATAATTATTAGTACGTTGTACAAAAAAGTTTTCATAGCACGTATATGCATTTGCCTCATTATTTAAAACTTTCAAATAATCAATGAATCATAGTGAAGTAGAACAGAGTTGCTATGAAAGTTAGTTTTAACTTAAAAGATATTTCAAGAAAGAAATGCCCACCCCTGCACTAAGCCATTGTTTTTTCGTTTATTTTGTTAGATTCAGGTTGTCATTCTTCACAAAATTTTTCAGTCTTTCATTCATTTATTCATTTACTCTTCCTTCATTCATTCTTTTATTATTCCATCTCGAGAATTCTCAAAACTTGATATTTATAATTAATCCAGTTATATCTACAGTCAGCTAATTCTTTACAGGCAATTCTACGGTCTTCATATTTATTTTATTAAATTTTCTCTCACAATTCTTTGGCATGATAAAAATCACTTTCTTTTTAATTATTCAAAATTTTTTTTTATTCCAAAATCAATGAACCATTCAGTGAAAATAAACAAACGAATCAAAATATGAGGAAAGAATACTTCAAATGGGTATTGAAATATTATATAGCAAGGAAAAGTTTGATGGAACAAATAAGTAGCGTGCATTGCATTATAATTGTGACAGAAACTAAATTTTAAAGGCATTTGAAGATGATGAATGATTGCTTGGCTGGCCACAGTTGTTTTGTTCAAATGGCGAATGTGAGTCATTTGATGGCATGTGCTAGAAGAGGGTACCTTTTAAAAAGCGCATGCATGTGTCTGTTTGATGACAAAAATAATGACGAAACGGAGTTGTAGACAAAGGTAAGCAGTGCTATAAATAACAAGAAATAAAACAAAGTATGTAAAGATGGCAGCTGGACCCTTGTGCTGCTTATCTGCACATCAACAAACCTCTCGTTGCGAGTGTTTCATGCAGAAAATATTGCCATCTTAATGTCAGACGGTGTTTGAAAATGTGTTTTCACCTTCATAATGTTGTTTAACAATATACAATATTTCTAATACCCTAATTTTAGGCTTATTATTTCAATGGAACTTATATAATATGACAAACAGCAATTTCAGAAATGTATGTTGACGAATGTTGAAATAACTTTAGAATTAATGATTTTTCATTTCTTTCCAACAAATTGAAAAAAGATGAGAGAATAAAATAAAAAGAAACAACTCGTTGGTGTTAAAAATAAAAGAAGGTGTTCGCTGGGTGCATTATTTATTGGAACAAATTTAATTATCCGCAGAAGTTAAGCAGTTTAATGAAATAATTGAATGAGGAAGAGAGTGGTTTGAACATTTTCAACTGTGTTTTTGCGGAGCTGATGATTCAAAGTGGAGGAACATTACAACTTACCAACCAGACAACCAAGGAAAAATAATCACCCCAATTGAAATGTTAATAAAATATTCAACGACAAATTGTATCATAAATTGTATCACAAATTGTATCATAAATTGTATCACAAATTGTATCATAAATTGTATCACAAATTGTATCACAAATTGTATCACAAATTGTATCACAAATTGTATCATAAAAACAAGGAGAGCATGTTTGTGAGAACAAACATGAAAGACCACATCAAAAAAATATTTTTAAAAATAAAAATTGAAATATAGGAAAAAAAAAATAATTAAAAATATTTCGAATTATGTGATTGGGAAGTTTCAAGAGGAAAGGACATTATTCAAAAAGCTCAAAAGCATTCTCATGTTCTAATCATTTTTGCAGTTCATCCATAGATTAATCATAACTGCTGCTGCTACTACTACTAATAATAATTCTACTACTACTACTACTACTACTACTACTACTACTACTACTACTACTACTACTATAACCAAAAAACTATTGCAAATACCGTTACTGCTTCTACTTCTACTACTACCACAATTACAAATATTAATAATAATAATAACTTTCGTATTAAAATTATTATTAACATTTTCTAATACTGTTTTCTACCACTAATCTGATCACTAAAATTTCTTTAAATTTTATTATCACTACAACTTCGCATAACAACACTTCAGTTATACTTATTACATTTGAAAAACAAATAATAATTCAACGCGGTTCAGGAACGACATCAATTTTAATGAAACACGACGAAGTACACACACACACACACACACACACACACGCACGCACGTCAAACTTTTTCAAATCACGAGCGTTCTGCTGCGAAGTTTATTTAAAGTAACCCACACCAAAATTCAACATTCAATTATTTCATTTTTTTTTATTTCTCGTTTCTCGAGAAACAACTAACTCATTGTACCACATTTCATACAATAACATTGTACCACATAACCTGTATAACATAACGTGATGCATTTGCACCATAGCACGATGATAAAATGAACACTGACGATGTAAATTTTCAGAATAAAGTAAATCTATATAAAGTATTCAAATAAGTATTTAAGTATATCTTCACGTCAGCCAAACCCTTATACGCATGTGCATGCATACATTGCTATACAAGGTTGTATTTGTATAAGATGAGCGAGCGTACACGCACATACAAAACATGCACATACAACTTCACTACATTCATTTGCAATCTCGATTCACCTCCATGACATTTAATTAAATTTTAATTAATTTTTTCAAAGAAATTTTTTTCTATGGTTCTTTGAAGGTTTTCAGGGCGTTTTATAACTTGATGAGGCATTTCGCAATGTTTTGTTTATTGAAAATTGGAATGAAATTGATGTTTTTTTGGAAAAAAAACATTGAAGTATAATAATTAATATCTCCTCTCAATGGCTTCAAATGACAAAATTTTTTTATGAAAATTGAGAGTTTATATTTCTTATTTTCATCTGGCCAACCACCTATATTCTAATACTAAGGTATTCAGTTACACACACACAAACACACACAAACACACACACATGTTTTTTTTTTTTATAAGAGTATATTATTTTTATCTAACCATTCTCGTTATTAATCCGAAGAAATTCTATGC